TGGGAGCCAGCCTGGACGTTCGACCACTAAGCCCTCGTGCAGGATGCTCCAGATCATAATGGCATCCGCTATAGAAACAAGGCAGATCGAGTGATTAGGGAGTTGTGGGTAAGTCTTTCTTGCACTACATTCCTCAATTCCTCGCATTCATTGGACATTCTTGAAATAAAATAATGGATACCTCGTGTCTTTATGCAGGACTTCTTCAGAATCCAGGAGGGATAGGAGGAAAGTGCGTATCAGGTGGCTTACGCTTCCTGTAAAAGGCGTGTCACGGACTTGCACTACGAGTCCTGCCTCCAGGCCCACATAGACTACAACGCCAAGTTCCTACTCAGGCGTGTCAACAAAGAGGAGGCAAGATGGATGACGCTGACAAGGGAGCAGTACATACAGGTAAATACAAAACATGAATATTCATTTCTTTTGAGATTAAGTATGCCTAATTTGATCTTTTGATATGTCGTTTACTTAATGTCCTGTAGGCGATTCCAAGATGGTGCGCCACCCACCCTGATTGCTGGGAATATATTGTGGACACCTGGTTGGACGGGGACTGGCAGAAGAAGCATGAGGAGGCCCGCGATAGGTGTTTGCAGATGCCAGGTGTATCCACCATCAGGGCAGCCGCAGCCTCAGCAAATATGCAAAGGCATATGTAAGTCTTCGCCATTGCTCTAATCTAGCCACGCTCAATTCTGCATCATTTCTAATCACATGTTGTTGTCTTTCTCGTAGTCGGATGCACACGGTGGCCAGCCAGTTGGTCAACTCAAGGCATATGATTTGGCTCACATGGGCAAGGCGACGGCCGACATCGAGTACGACCCAGATGCCCCGCTTGAGGCGTACACCAACTCCAGCGTCCACACCCGCCTCTCTTCGTACACGGAGGTGGCAAGGTCAGTCCATGGGCTGGGCTATGATCCAAGAACCGAGGAGCGCCTTGATCCTCAGCTCGTGATGAGGGTGGGGCAAGGCAAGAAGCATGGGCGGTTCTGGATTGGCGACGGCGTCCTCGACACAGCCTCTACTCCTCCTCTCCACCAGCTCCGAGCACGAGCTCAAGTGTGCCCATACGCCAACGGCCGACCGCAGTGTCGGCACTCCTGGTAAGCATTCCTGTTTCATTCGTCGTTCTTTGACTTTTACATACCTTACCTATGCATTATTGAAACATTGGGGTCAAATGACGTAGGCTCAGGTGCAGGAACTGCAGGCCGAGCGGGAGGATGAGCGGGAGCAAGATCAGCGGCAGATGGCCGAGATGATCAAGTTCATGCAGCAAATTGGCCAGCAACAAGGTTGGGCGATCCCACAGACGCTGCTTGCTCTAGATCCACCTCCACAACGTCCTGATTCTACCCCGATGAGTATAAGTATAAAGTTTTACTTTCTATGTTTGAAACTTAGAGAAACCTAGTGAAACCTAGAGAAACCTAGTGGTGGTGGTGGTGGTGGTGGTGGTGGTGTGGTGGTGGTGGTGGTGGTGGTGGTGTGTGTTGGTGGTGGTGGTCACGGTGTTGTGGTGCTCATGATGGTGGTGGTGGTGGGTGGTGGTGGTGGTGTGAAGTTGGTGGTGAAATGTTGGTGATGGCGGTGATGTGGTGGCGGATATTTATCTTGCATATTTATCTCTTATCTTGTCGTTCATGGTTTTGTGTAGCATCAATCGCGGTGAACCACCTCGGTCGCCGGGATCGCACGTGATGTGGTGGTGAGCTGGTGGCGTGGTTGTGATATAATGCACTTGTTTGTGAACTATGCTTGTGTGTTTGGACTTTGGACTTGGGAGTGAGATTGTGATACTTGTATGCTATATTTGTGTTTGTGGTGGATTGTGATATACATTTGTATTATATATATATTTGTGTGATATATAGTTGTGTTATATATATATATGATGTATATCTTGTTTGCAGCGATGGAAGACTAAAACCAAAAAAAAATTGAATTTTTATTCTTGCCAAGTGTCATGACTATAACACTCTTGTCGCTCTGGGACACTAAGCTTCCCGGCTTTGCCGATGCTATGGTCAAAGCACTCAAAAAGAAAATTCAAAAAAATGCTTTGCCGAGTGCCTACCTACGAGTACTCCGCAAAGAAAATCAAAAAAAAGAAAACAAGCTTTGCGAAAGTGCCGATCGGAACTCGGCAAAGCATTTTTAAAAAATAAAATAAAAAACACATTTCTTTGCCGAGTGCCGACGCTATCGGCAACCGCCATCACCGGACCGGCCGTCACGGCGAGCTTTTCAAAATGGTGGCACTCGGGAAATACTTTGCCAAGTCTTTGCCGTGAAGGGGATATGTCGACAGACTCTTTGCGATGTGCACTTGTGCAAAGGCTTTGCCGAAAGTAAAGCCTTCTTTACCGCTTCGGCAAAGCACGCGCTTGTTGTGAAAGTTACTTATGAAACTGTTTAAAAAAGAAGAAGTTGAACAGTGCCAAACGAGCCCTATAGAATAAATGACAACAGTAACTGATGTGCCTTTAACAAACTGTCATTTATTAGCACACTGGTTACACGCTGAATCCAGGCACAACACCAACGTCTGAACTTCTCACTTCTCAGACTACCAGATTACATAAACTTCTCTTATTTAAGGCAAGAACTAGGCAAAATTTCAGAGGAACCCTGCCGATGCTGGTTTACTTGGTCCACCAGTGAAGGAAATCCTTGCGCCTGTTGATCTTCTTCTGCAGCTGAAGAACACCGTACAGCAGAGCCTCATTGGCGGGCAACCAGGGACGTATATGTCAACCGGGACGATCCGGTCGCATCCTCGCACGACGGATACGAGTAGTGGTAGTATCCGCCGCCATTGGCGCAGCTGCCCATCGAGATCACCCAGCGATATCTGGTCGTAGACCCTACAGAGAACGAACAGAGGAAGCTGAGAGTGAGCATTGCTGCTAAGAAGTTTACGGCCTTTTCATTGGTTGGTTCATGGACCGATAAGCCTGACAGTGCTGATTTACGGTGAGAGAAAAATACTGATTGGTCGACTATGAACAGGCTGTTAATCTGTGAGCGAAAGGCGAGATAAAGGTTGCGGGTGTCAGGAAGCAAGACGTACTTGCGGAGCGCGGGCGCCATCTTGTTGGTGAGCGTGCCGGCGACGATCATGCAGTCGGACTGGCGCGGCGAGGGGCGGAAGATGACGCCGAAGCCGAAGCGGTCGAAGTCGTAGCGGGAGGCGCTGGCGTGCATCATCTCCACGGCGCAGCAGGCGAGCCGCGAGCCCGAACGTCATGGGCCAGATGGAGCCCCGCCGTGCCCTGTTCATCAGGTTGTCCACCTTGGACACCACGAACTCCGCCGCCTTCGATGCCGGCGCGGGAGGCAGCGCCCCGCGCGGGCTCGCCGCGGCAGAGGAGGAGGAGGAGTAGGCGCGCGGGGAGGCGGATAGGAGCGCCAGCTGCGCCGTGCGGGGGAGGAGCGCCATGGTGATCGGGCAATGGCCGGGGAGGACGTCGAGAGGAGGAGGGTGGTGTTCAGGGTGCTGTGGTCGGGGGGTTCGCCCGCCGAGTTGACGACGCAGGACGGCAGGAGAGTGAACGGCGCGGCGCGGCGCGTGGCAGGGACTGGGGGACACGACTCCAGTGTGGGTAGTGGGAGGCCGACACGGCTCAAGTCCGCGGTGTCATATGGCGGACGCAAGCAGAGGACGATCACAGTGCAGGACTGCAGGGTCGGTTTGAGTCTTGAGAGGGAGAGGTCGGTGTACGAGCAGTGTTGCGTCACGCGTGCCGTGTACATGGCTCGACTGCCGAGACGTCGGAGAGAGGAAGAGGACCACGTCTCTTACACGTATTCTTTAAAATCATTATCAGTGGATTTTTTATTATTTCCAAAAATGTCATCCTCCGTATTAGATTACAATACAATTGAAATGAAACTACTATTCATAATATATAGTTTTATTTTAGTGTTTCATAAATTTCATAACTCATCTAGAGTTAGAAACCGAGCCATCAGAGTTTTATTTTTATCCCATCAAACTTTATTATTTTATCTTTTAAAAAACACTCACAATCTGTTAAACGCGTATAAAACCTGAGTGAAACTTCTACCTCCTACCGAGACTAGCCTAAAGTGACATGGAACTGAATGAAAATTCTACTCAGACTAGCCTAAGATGACATTTCAAACAGTAGAAATTTCATAAAAATATAGTATCTATATCCGTTTTCTCCATTTTCGATGAGAATCTACATTGAGATTTATGTGCACACTTTTTAATACGAATCCAATGGTGAATGTGCTGGAACTCTAGGAGCACATGCCCTTAAAAGGCACGGTGGGTGCTAGCGTTTTTACTCACATCGAGTTCTCCACACAAATTGTTGTGTCAAACTGTCAATTACTCAATTGTGTATGTGATTGTTGTAATTCCGCTTTTAATCTACCGGTTAAAGTTCTACTTATCATTCACGCTAAGATGATGAATTAATCAATGCATTGTTGATGCTCTTCTATCCGAACGAAAGAATCATATACAATATATAGAAAATGTCTTTAGTATATTCTATAATATATACCACCTTCTCTCGTCTTAAACGATAGAACTAACGTTGTTGAGACAACAGAGACTTTGCACCGGTCAGAGTATAACTCACACTAGTTTATAAGAACGTCACGTGAATAAACTATATAAATCTCTCAATTCACAGCTTGATAGAGCTGAACAATCACGTGTATAACTGGGTATTTGCTCACCCTGGCATCCTGATCTCATATGTGCTTCTGCACCGACGGTAGCTGCAGCACCAAACATCCTTCAGAAAATATCAGTTCTGTATTTCTTCTCTCTCTTTGCTTCGTTGGGAACTGCACGTAGCGCCACGTCGCCCTCAGTACACCGAAGTAGGGATGCAGCGTGCTTCTTCAGCAGATGCTTAATTCAGTGCTGATACAACCATATTTCTTTACCATACGGTTAAGCACAGCATCTAGGAGACTTTACAGAGGCAGTAGGGAACTGTCTCTGCTATTTACGCTGCTGCCCTGGCTCGAGCCGCTGCTCTCTGATAGATTTCTTCGTATTGGGAAGCTGAAGTATCCCAGCTGAAATCTATCTTCATGTCTTTCTGCACCAACTGTTTCCAAACTTCAGGTTTTCTATGGTAGTAGTTGAAAGCTCTTTCCAGGGCACTATCAAAACCCTATCAAAGTGAACATCACACATCAGCTGTACTGCAGCCACCAGAATATCTTAATTTCCAAAACTTCATGTTAGGATGTACACAGGTATGGCAACCACCTGCTCATCAGCCTTCAAAAAGGTGAAGCCATTTCGCAGCTCCATGGGTATCGTTTCATCGTCAAAATCAAATACACTTGAATCACAAAATCACATCAGCATGGTATTATCAATACATGTTTGAAGGTAACAATAACCTTTTGGTGAATGGCTGGTTTAGGATTTACCTGTCATTCAAACCACCAGTTCTCCGAACAATTGGCACAGAACCATATCGCATAGCTATCATCTGAGGATGAAAAACAAGTTATAATTGCACATCAGAAGACTAGCACAATCATCAAGGCATGAGTTGCGTAATTACAATATGATATATTGATATACATAGGACGAAGATGGTAAAGGATGTTTGTCAGTAAATGGAACTTCCTATGTTCCAAAATATGTCACTTTAGTTTTACCATAAGTCAAACTTCTCTAACTTTGACCAAGCCTAACTAAAACGACCTACGTATCATACTGAAATCAACAGCAATTTCCTGTACATACTAATACGCATTATGCACGATGCTAATTGCTAAATTATTAGACCAAATATGAAGAACGCATACCTGAGTGAGGCCACATGGTTCAAACATAGAAGGAACAATGAACATGTCTGATGCTGCAAAAATCATATGTGACAGAGCATCATCATACTTCAAAAGCAGCCTGACATTGTTGTTGTTCTGAAATTGGTCCACAATACCCTCAAACTCTCTCTGTGGAACAAATGAAAAACAAATACATCAAGTGTTACGACCATAAACAAACAGCTGTTCGACCGAGGGAGCAGAGAAATACGGTATTTCAAACAATCAGGCCATGCTGCTTTCATGATTAATTAGCTATTCATGAGGAGCTGAAGGCTGTTTTCCTAAATTTCAAGATTCCAGATTGGCCAAATGCACTGCATGAATACTCCAGCAAGAAAACACACCTGGATATGCTGTACTGGACTTGAACCCAACAGAACAAATTGTCCACCCAACTCAGCTGTTTTATATATTGCATGCCTGATAAGATGTACACCCTTTTGAGGAACTAGCCTCGTAATGCAACCAACCTGCTTGAGGAAACTTCAGTTCTCTAGTAAATCTTGGAGAGAGGAAGAGGCTCAAATCAAGTACAAAGTTGTGAGGATAGAAAACATACTAGTGGCCGGGAAGCATGTGTGGAAGACAGCTTCAACTGCTTCCTGAGAGCTGCTTTGTTTGCTGACTTTCCATATAGATCATTAGCACTGTATTGAACCTTGAGAAACCTATCTGTAGATGGATTCCAAGTATCTGTGTCGATGCCATTAAGTATTCCAACAAATTTCTTGGAGTGCACTTTGAGTGTATCTTGGAGCCCACGCCCACCCTGAGCAACAGAGTAACTTCGTCAGAGACAAAACGCGGAGGCACTTTACTTCCCAAAGGGGTAAAACTCAATGAGATTCACAATAATGACAAAGCTTAAGACAGATTACATGGTTCAAAAAAAAATATTAATGTGGAATCAAAACACCAGAACCATTTCAGGCCCATGTAAGATAGTGTACCTGAATTAGGAAAGTTTCAAGCATTCAACCTCTTTGTCTAACTCCTTAGGATGCAAAATGGAGACACTGATAGGTAGTTTTGGGTCAGTTCATTTCTATCTCATTCCCTTTGCTTTTAAGTCCACATTAGTTCAATAAAAATGAGTTTCAGGTAAGCAAAACTTGAATCCCTAGCAACTTCCGTGAAATGATCTACAATAATTTTAGCCCATGAATGTTCGAGAAAAAAAAAATTAGCCCACGAAGAAATATCAAGAAGAAAACAGTGGAATGTTGCACATGTGGATAAATTACATGGATAAATCCTAGATCTTTTGGGGAATATTTATTGTATTTTGTCTCTTTAGTTTTTAAAATCTTTTTAGAGTTTATTTATTGCAGTTTATCTGTTTACAACAACAAAGCCTTTAAGTCCCAAACAAGTTTGTCTGTTTAGTTTTTTAAAATCTTTTTACACGTTTCTATTAGACAACAGAAAAGAGAGAAGGACAGAAATTAATACATTAGTTGCAATGTTGCATCCAATGGAAGACACACTGAACCTAAAGGTCAGAATATTACCTCTGAGCACACCTCTTGAGCATATGTTGGTGATACAGTTGTGACAATGTTGGAATACACAATTGCACCCTGAACACAATAAGTGCATAAAAGCATTAGTGATACCATAAGGCTGAACTCTAGTTCCAACTCTCCTGTTACACATTTTCCATAGGTAAATACCTTAACAACATTTATTCTGCCATGTGAATTATCCCGCATTCTGTCTGGTCTATCCAGGTGATCAACATCAAGGCCACAATATGCTAAATCTTGAGCTGGAGCAACTCCTTGATATTCAAAATTGTGACAGGTAAAACAAATTCTAGCTGAGTTGAAGCCCAGATTTGCATAAACATCCCAATAAAGAGGTGCCTGGAGTTTACAATGTAAGAAAAAAAAACATAATTTAATGCCTAAAACTTTGCAACTATTAATAAAAACAAGATCCATTTTCAGTTGGTGAACATGATCATTTAAATCTTACAACAAATGCAGTCTGCCAGTCATGACAGTGAATTATGTCAACTTTCTTCCCGGATTGGTACAGCAATTCCAGTGCAACACGGCTAAAGTAGGAAAAACGCTTGAAGTCATCATGCTCTCCGTAGTATTGCGCCCTCCAGAAGAACTTACCTGGATGTTGCGGCTCAATAAAGTAGACAGGAAGACCTGCATATGCAAATTTAGTTAGGCAACTGTAGATCAAATTTTATATGATGGTTGAACTGAGTGTTGACTGGAACCTTCAACTGTCCCAGTCCATATCTTGTTCGCAAACATATTTCCTTCGAAGTAAGACTTCACCACAACATCTAGAACCTGTACAATCACCAAACAGCAATCTTAACCAAGCGAAAGATAAAAATAAAAGTATAATAAGAGTTAACAAAAAATACATACCTTAAGATTATTGATTTGGTTATGCTGCATGCAATCATATTTGGGAAGAATAATCTCTACTAGGTGCCCTTTTTTTTGAAGTGCCTTCCCAAGACCAGAGATCACATCTGCCAGACCACCAACCTACATAGTCATACACACCAAAAAGCTATAATATGACCAACAGGGTTGAAAATTAATCAGCATAGACACCAATAGCAGTCTAAAATAGTTAGTAAATCGTCGTATTGGTAATTAAATCTAAGGAAACAATATAATATAAATATATACTCCAGTAGATGGAGATCAATACAACTCAACTTATAAGTTGTTTTTACAGCTTCGAGCAATTTAGCACTGAATCAACATCAAGTTTATTACTTTGTGGACGACGGCTTCTTAACAGCAGCACACTTTCAACTGTATCAGATTTTTTTTAGAAGAAAAATGGCTGCAACTCTGCCTTGCATTATAGTAGAGAGAGAGAAAACATAAAGTTAATCCTCGAAGGGCAAAGAGAAATACCACGCACACCAGAACTATCAGACTGCAAACGCCAATCGCCAAAGGACTAAACCGCCCCCATTATAAGTTCCCAAAAGCACGGCGCCATTGCTCTATGTCTTCCTTAGCGCTAGTCGCCACAGATAGTGAGGAGAATCCTTCATTCTGAAAAATACACCAGTTTCTTTCTTTCCACAAATTCTACATGACGTAAATGACTTCCCCATTGAAGTCACACTTCTTCTCTTTTGGCACCGCTTTAGTTGCCGTTTCTCACCAATCCGTGATCGAGCTGAAATTTGCCGCCTGGATATGCGAGGGAAAAGAGAGATGCTCCCACACAAGCACCTGCTTCTAAACTTCAGCCGCAAAGGGACCTGTATCAGATTTATTGTTCTCTCCAATCAGCCCTTAAGATTCTCAGACTGGAAAATACTTGAGGGGAAGCACCTTTACACTATTTATGAACGAGTTGGAAAACACATGTTAATACTTATTTGGTGTGCTCCCCTATGTATCAACGATACTTCACTAACCCAGCCATGCGTATGCGATACTTTGATACTTGGATACTTTCTCCATATTACCAAAGTGCTGCTTTTTCATAGTCGTGTATTGCCATACCTGTACCGGTGATACATAGGTGCCCCTATTAGAACTTACTCCAGTTCAAATAGGGGACTGGAAGAATGAAGCTTTACGATCAACACTTCAACAAGACAGCATTACCTAGAAAAATATGGCAGCCCTACACTTCCATCAGCAAGCGCATAAGGCGGAGGGAGAAAGCAATATGGCGATCAGAAAATCAACCAACATGTAGCAATCTTTATAGAAGGGTTCCTTTGGTTTCCAGCCTGTGTGCTGAGACAGCCAAGCTGGGCTCGTATCAAGGAACGATCGTTTAGCTGGTGTGCGGGTTAACTTTGGTAGTTTGCTTAAGGTTTGGTTAGGTTTGGTCGCTTGACATTTAAGTGGTTTTGGGGGCCTCTCCGGCTGGACCCTGGGTGTCCAGGGAGGTTGGCTTTTAGTTCTTAGTACTGTATGTTCTACATCATATCAAACTTCGGTAATTTCGTTGCTAGAAGGTAATGAAATTCGGTTTCGGCCGTGGTGGAAAAAAACAAGACAGCATTACCTAGGAAAGTGTCTTTTCTGTTTGCACCTAGTTCTTATGCAACATATTACAAAGAAAATTATCAAGAAATGAGATAATGGAAACACATACACTTGATGAAAACTGAATTAATAACAAGGATCACCTTTGCAACAGGAGCCATCTCAGCTGCTATGTGGACAATGTGCAAACCAGAACTGCATTGAATAATAATATTCAATCATACCAAACATACCAAACACAACAGACCGATATTTTCTGAAGCAAAGTTGTTGTATAAACAAGTTTTTTCTTCTTATTGGCAAAGCAGAAAGTGGCACCTTGTTCCTGGTAGTGCCATCTTTAGGAAATTATCTATCAGTTCCCTCTCTTCCATTCCTCTGGATGACAAGTAAGCTTCCCGAAGGCGATTATCCCTTTTCCAAGCCATTTCTCTCAACATGCTTGCATCGTTGATGGATATTTTCTTCTCAAGCGACCACCCATCAATCAGAAGAGAGATCCTACTCCAGAACTCCGATGGCATGCCTTCTGCATAATGCTCCATTGACTTTTTCTCACTTTCGTTTATTAGTTTGCTGAGAGTATCTTGAAACTCCACTATTGAGTGTTCATAAAGTTCAATTTGTGAATGCATTTCATGATTACATGCTTGAAAGCGCTCTTCTACTGATTTTACCCTTTGCTGCAAAATATCAACTAAATAAAGACAGAACTTTGATATGTTTGTTGCTCCCAATGATGCTTTTAGTTTCTCAACCTTATCATGGAAATCACGATAACCATCTAGCGTCAGAGCAGCATGCTCCACTTGGTTTGCTGTGGAATCAAGCAAGTCTTCCAAATTTTCTACTTTCTCCCACCAGGCATCTTGTTGCTGAGGACCAAGTTTCAACATATCAGATTGGGCAGAAATGAATGTACACTCGAGCTCCCTAAGGGAACCATCTAAAAGAGCACGCTCTTTCTCCAACTTGAATAGACTCTCCTCTGTCTCAGTTATCTCAATAAGCTTTGCTTTTAGAAAATTCATGTCATCCTTCAGTAGCACATTCTCTTCCTTTACGACATCAAACTCCAGACCCTCTGCATCAGACTTCGCTTCACTAGAAAGCACAGATTGTGTACCTGTTTCTGATAGTTTCATCTCTAAAATGTTTATCTTCTGTTGCAAAGCTTCCTTCTCTTTAAGAATTTTGTCAGCATGTCCCAATGCTTGAAGACGAGCTTGATTCAGAAGCAATATATCTAACCAAATAAAATTTAAAATTAGAGTTCATCATATGCACATGTCTACATATTTGTAATCATAAAACACTATAAGAATAAACAGAGGAAGGAATCTCCTACTCTTCTGGGTATTTTGTATCATTCCTACCAAATCTTCCAGTTGAATGTTTAGTAGTTCATTTTCATCGACAGACTTCTGCTGCAAAGAGATCAAACAGAAACGCTTAAAAGAAACAACAGTGAATAAATAAATAAGGACAAGCGGAAGAGTATTGATATTTCATAATGAAGTTAATTTCAAATTTGATAAGTTGCAGTGTAAGAGTCTAATAAGAAAAAAAAACATATGAAACATGGAAAAAACATCTTACACTGCAATTGTGTCAAGCACTATAGATTAGAAAACATCTTATGGAAGACACAATTGCTAAAGAATTTGCTGCAGCACCTGTTGCTGTTCTTCATCAATAGAAGCTGCTGCTCTATCTCTCTGAATGCTAACCCTGTTACGATGGTTAGCACTCGGTGTACTCCTCTGATGAGGTTGCACGCCAGTCCTAACGCCAGAAAATGGAAGTTTGATTATTTCTACATACACAATACATACTTTTCAAATCTAGTAACTAAATGTGTATATAACATACAGCAATGTTTAGAGATAGGTAGGACAGTGCGATCAAACATGAGCCTCCGCAGTGTCAAATTGGAGCGAAGACGATTCAATCATGTTTTCAGAACAACAATTATTTTGGCACTAATGTTTACAGTTTACAAATGGATAGAACAGTGCGATCAGACATGACAATAGTGTTTATAGACACTGGAAACGGCCATTTCTTATACACAAAAAAAAAGCAAGCACGATTGACGACTCCCGTAGTTTGCAGCCACTGCAAAGTGTGCAGATAACGTAGAACAGAAATACGATTCCATCCACGACCCGGGGATCAGCAAGCCCACGCCAACGCTCCAATATCACAAGCAATACCCCGAACACATGAGGAGCGCCTTCCACACGAAGCTCCTACGGAAACACTCGCGCATATAAGCAACTCACCTGAGGTTTCGGCGCGGAGTCCAGCGGGACACGGCGAGGCGGTGTCGCCCGGCGATCGTGGACAGAGCGGGGCTGCGGAACAGGAGAGCGGCGGCCTCGGCGCCCGCCGCCGCCGAGCACGACATGGGAAGCCGAGGAGGATGGGGGAGGGTGAGAGGGAGCGGTGGAGTGAGCTCGAGGCGGCCGCGTCGGGGTTCCCGTGGGCGGCGGTTGGAAAAAGCGGCGGAGTGGAGTGAGACGGAAGCGTGGGCTGGGCCGCGTGGCCGTGCAGTGGGGGGTGGGGCCCGTGCTCTGCGCGCGGAAGGCGGAGGAAGGATAGCCAAACAGAGGCGGGGCTAATCGGCTTCTAGCCGCCAGGGGCCCGCTAATTGGGAGGCGTGGGGCCATGACGGCAGCGGGTATCCTCTCCTGGCTACAGACAGAAGCGGTCAAGCGGACGCCGTACTGTAATGTACTGTAGTTGCGAATTGGCTGCAATAGCGCATTCATATATAGTTAATTTTTCATAACCTTTTAAGGTAGCCTTTCATCAACTTCTCGTGTAAAGATAGCTTCTATGGCCATGTTCGCTTGGAGAAATCTAGAGAAATTTGTGAGAGCGTAAACAATAAAATTCATTCGAGAACAGTGAAATTCAGCTGGTTTTTCAACCAGCCGAATGCCCCCTATAATATTAAAAAAGTTAGCTTATATATTATTTTATTAAGAAAGAGAATGAACAATAAGTTAACTTTATGTACTTTTTTATGATATTTATGTGCACGTGTGTTTCTATCCTAAATAACATGCTAGGTTACTCTATTTTTATCTTTTTAAAATTCATATGATCTAGCAAGTTGAGTCTATTGTTGAGAATATCCTATAAAACTTTCTAAAACCACTGTACCATGGCTAATAAGCCGGTTTGATAAGTTAAGTGAACAGTAACATGTGCTAGCATGCCTGCTTATTCTATTCCTATAGCCACCATCGCCGCATCATCATCGAAGCCCCATGGCCACCGCCATCACTGCCTCGTCCAGAATTCATAGCTAGTTAGTTGCTGCACAAAAATCACCAAGACAGAAGACTACATTATCTCTATAGTACTCATAAGTTGCCATTGTAGTCCTGGCTATACGTTGATGTAACATGGTCTTGTCTTCCCTGTTTGAAAATGAAGAAAGGAATAAAGGGTCTTCTCACTTTAGTGCACATACAAGTATTTTTTTTTCAAATAAACAAAACAATAATAAATAAAAATAAATTTTTAATTAATGTGCATGTTGGTCTTGCAAAGGAATTGTTTCTGTTCAATCCCAAGCAATTTCATAGAGCCGGCTGAGTTTTTTTCTAGCGCAAGACAATTTTCTTTGCCTTTTTTTGTTTGTGCGAGTAAAGTTTAGTGCCATTTTCATAAGTTGCCATCATCGCAAAGTTTCACTTTAGCTACTAGAGTTTTGTTTAACGAATGCAAGCTGTTTGCCGCTGGCCATGCGGTTTTAGGGATAAGAGAGGATATGTGTTGTGGCCTTATGGACGTCATCACTTGGCCTGTTTTCAAAAAAAAAATCTTTACACGTAAAGTAACTTTTGTCGTGTTCATCAAATCGGGGAATTATATGAGCTTATGATTTGCATGTAAAAGAAAACCAACTTTGACTTTACTTTTCCAAAAAAATAAATCCAGCTATGTAACAAATGTATGACCATAGACAGGAGCAACACAATGGAAGCTAAACAAAACTGAGGCTTACATTCGAAGACTACGAGTTGGACAACAATATTATTACCAACAAATGTATGTTCCCCTCATCTAGTCCAGATTCATAAGCACTGCCTTTTATCAACTTCTCGTGTAAAGATAGCTCCAATAATATTAAAAAAGTTAGTTTATAAATTATTTTATTAAGAAAGAGAATGAACAATAAGTTACCTTTATGTACTTTTTTATGATATTTATGTGCACGTGTGTTTATATCCTAAATAACATGCTAGGTTACTCTATTTTTATCTTTTTCAAATTCATATGATCTAGCAAGCTGACTCTATTGTTGAGAATGTCCTATAAAACTTTCTAAAACACTGTACCATGGATAATAAGCCGGTATGAGAAGTTTAAGTGAACAGTAACATGTGTTAGCATGCCTGCTTATTCTATTCCTATAGCCACCATCGTCGCATCATCATCGAAGCCCCATGGCCACTATCGTCACTGCCTCGTCCAGAATTCATAGCTAGTTAGCTGCTGCACAAAAATCACAAAGATAGATGACTACATTATCTCTATAGTACTCATAAGTTGACGTTGTAGTCCTGGCTACATGTTGATGTAACATGGTCTTGTCTTCCCTGTTTGGAAATGAAGAAAGGAAGAAAGGGTCTTCTGACTTTATTGCACATACAAGTAATTTTTTTCAAATAAACAAAACAATAATAAATAAAAATAAATTTTTAATTAATGTGCATGTTGGCCTTGCAAAGGAATTGTTTCTGTTCAATCCCGAGCAATTTCATAGAGCCGGCTGACTTGTTTTCTAGCGCAAGACCATTTTCTTCGCCTTTTGTTTTTTGTTTGTGCGAGTAAAGTTTAGCGCCATCTTCATAAGTTGCCATGATTGCAAAGTTTCACTTTAGCTACTAGAGTTTTGTTTAAGTAATGAAAGTTGTTTGCCGCTGGGCATGCGGTTTTAGGGAGAAGAGAGGATATGTGTTGTGGCCTTGCGGGCGTCATCACTTGTCTTTTTTTCAAAAAAAATCTTTACACGTAAAGTAACTTTTGTCGTGTTCTACAAATCGGGGGATTATATGAGCTTATGATTTGCATGTAAAAGAAAACCAACTTTGACTTTACTTTTCCAAAAAAATAAATCCAGCTATGTAACAAATGTATGACCATACACGGGAGCAACACAATTGAAGCTAAACAAAACTGTGGCTTACATTCAAAAACTACGAGCTGGACAACAATATTATTACCAACAAATGTATGTTCCCCTCATCTAGTCTAGATTCATAGGCACAACCTTTTATCAACTTCTCGTGTAAAGATAGCACCAATAATATTGAAAAAGTTAGCTTATAAATTATTTTATTAAGAAAGAAACGAACAATAAGTTAGCTTCATGTACTTTTTTTATGATATTTATGTGCACGTATGTTTCTATCCTAAATAACATGCTAGGTTGCTCTATTTTTATCTTTTTAAAATTCATATGATCTAGCAAGTTGACTCTATTGTTGAGAATGTCCTATAAAACTTTCTAAAACCACTATACCATGGCTAATAAGCCGGTCCGATAAGTTTATGTGAACAGTACATGTGTTAGCATAACTGCTTATTCTATTCCTATAGCCACCATCGTCGCATCATCATCGATGCCCCATGGCCACCTCCGTCACTGCCTCGTCCAGAATTCATAGCTTGTTAGCTGCTGCACAAAAATCACAAAGACAGAAGACTACATTATCTATATAGTACTCATAAGTTGACATTGTAGTCCTGGCTACATGTTGATGTAACATGGTCTTGTCTTCGCTGTTTGAAAATGAAGAAAGGAAGAAAGGGTCTTCTGACTTTACTGCACGTACAAGTAAAAAAATTCAAATAAACAAAACAATAATAAATTAAAATAAATTTTTAATTAATGTGCATGTTGGTCTTGCAAAGAAATTGTTTCTGTACAATCCCAAGCAATTTCATAGAGCCGGCTGAGTTTTTTTCTAGCGCAAGACAATTTTCTTTGCCTTTTGCTTTTTGTTTGTGCGAGTAAAGTTTAGTGCCATCTTCATAAGTTGCCATAATTGCAAAGTTTCACTTTAGCTACTAGAGTTTTGTTTAAGGAATGCAAGTTGTTTGCCGCTGGGCATGCGGTTTTAGGGAGAAGAGAGGATATGTGTTGTGGCCTTGTGGGCGTCATCACTTGGCCTTTTTTCAAAAAAAAAATCTTTACACGTAAAGCAACTTTTGTCGCATTCATCAAATCGGGGGATTATATGAGCTTATGATTTGCATGTAAAAGAAAACCAACTTTGACTTTACTTTTCCAAAAAAATAAATCCAGCTATGTAACAAATGTATGACCATACACAGGAGCAACACAATTGAAGCTAAACAAAACTGAGGCTTACATTCAAAAACAACGAGCTGGACAACAATATTATTACCAACAAATGTATGTTCCCCTCATCTAGTCCAGATTCATAGGCACAGCCTTTTATCAACTTCTCGTGTAAAGATAGCTCCAATAATATTAATAAAGTTAGCTTATAAATTATTTTATTAAGAAAGAAATGAACAATAAGTTAGCTTCGTGTACTTTTTTATGATATTTATGTGCACGTGTGTTTCTATCCTAAATAACATGCTAGGTTACTCTATTTTTATCTTTTTAAAATTCATATGATCCAGCAAGTTGACTCTATTGTTGAGAATGTCCTATAAAACTTTCTAAAACCACTGTACCATAGCTAATAAGCCGGTCTCATAAGTTTAAGTGAATAGTAACATGTGTTAGCATGCCTGCTTATTCTATTCCTATAGCCACCATTGTCGCATCATCATCGAAGCCCCATGGCCACCGCCCAAAATCCTTTAGTTAAATCTAGAATTCATAGCTAGTTAGCTGCTGCACAAAAAGTTAGCTTATAAATTATTTTATTAAAAAAGAGAATGAACAATAAGTTAACTTCATGTACTTTTTTATGATATTTATGTGCACGTGTGTTTCTATCCTAAATAACATGCTAGGTTACTCTATTTTTATCTTTTTACAATTCATATGATCTAGCAAGTTGACTCTATTGTTGAGAATGTCCTATAAAAACTTTCTAAAACACTGTACCATGGCTAATAAGTCGATCCCAAGCAAGTTTAAGTGAACAAGTAATATGTGTTAGCATGCACCTTATTCTATTCCTATAGCCACCATCGTCGCATCATCATTTAAGCCCCATATGGCCACCGCATTGCAAAGTTTCCTCATAGCTAATTGATAGCTAGTTAGCCCGAGAATTCATAGCTAGTTAGGCTGCTGGGCAAAAATCACAAAGATAGAAGACTATATTATCTCTATAGTACTCATAAGTTGACATTGTAGTCCACGGCAACATGTTGATGTAACATGGTCTTGTCTTCCTGTTTGAA